TCGCTAATCATCTCAAAAGTTTCATCAGCTCCTGTTTTTACTTCTATATCAACCAAGAGCTCTGGCATTGGTTCATCTAAAGTTTCTGAGAAATTATGAACATTTGTCATCAATCGATCATGAGAAACTTGCGATGCTCCCAATTTTTCTCTTTGCTCTGAACTGAGTTCACTTCTGGTTTCAAGAATCTTTTGATTTTGTTTTTCAAAAGCTTGTAATTCTTTATAATCTTTTAATGAATGTTTACATGAAGAGTTGTAATATTCTCGTAATAAAATTTGAACATTTTATTGTTTATCGGGAGGTAGAACTTTGCTTTTTGGTATTGTTACATCTAGTTTCTCTGATAAATCTTTTGCTCTTCTAGGAACTAAACCTGCATAATCTTCTCCACAATGACGACAGAAGCTGAGAAAAATGTTGGCATTGTTATGCGCTTCTTTGTCCATGTTAATTAAGACAGTCGGCACCGATCCAAGTAGAGAAAGCCCTTGTTTGTGAGTGAAAACTCCCTCATTTACAAATTCTGCATAGAATCTTAAATTAGCTTTTAATTTGCTAGGATTGTTGATTTTCTCTCCTACTTTCAAAGTCAATACTCGTTGCCAATTTTCAAAAAAATGAGTAGGAAAATCTGTGTAAGTTTGATGGAGAAAGCTAGATATTTTTATTGCTCCTTGGACATCTGTCATTTTTTATTTTGCATCCATTAAAGCAGTTACAATTTCACTAACTTATTTAGTTAAATTCAAATTTGTCATATCTTTGAGATATTGATCTACTTGAGTAGAGCTGAATTTTTTGAGTTTTTTTAATGAGTTTCTCTTTTTCTTCTTTAGTATCAACTCAATATATACTCGGCAAACAAAATCTGATGTTACACGACATTCTGGACACAAGTGAATAATTTTATCCTCTAATTGTTTTGCTCAACGCCACTTTCGTATACAACTTAGACAAAACAATGATTACAATTAGGTAAAATACCAAATCTTCTTTGAGTTCTGGATGCTTTCTTCACAAATACTAGTATAAACATGATAACATAAAGTTCAATACATTTTTTGTACTATTTTCAATAATCAGTGTTGATTAAAAGAATTTTAATAACTGGATATTAAAGCTCCCAAATAAATTGTAACTTAACAAATAATTATAAAACATATTTTTCATGCAAAAAATTATTCATCAATGCAAGAGAAGTTTCATTTGAATGGTTGTGATGAATCTGCTGCATCCGTGGGTTAAAAAGCTGTTGAACTGGACTATTTCCTCGATTCAGGTTTACATTCTTCGGATTATTGTTCTAACATGACTGTATGATTATTTGAAATATGCTTATAACGACAATCACTTTCAAACTTACAAGTTCTCCATTTAAAAAATCAATAAACAATTGCTGATGATAGTACGTTAATACTGTTATTAAAATTATTGTTATTAGGCATTTCTTCATTGGCCTACAACAAAGTAAATTAAAATAAAATTATTTTTCAGATCTATACTAAATATTAAAATATATATATTTATAATATAATAAATCTAATCAAAGTGTCATTTGGGGACGTTTCTTAAGTACAAGGTATTATTTGAGGACATTTGTATAGTTTGGGGACAGTCATTCGAGGACACAACGTAGCCACGTTGTGATGAATTTTTTTTGTTTTTTGAAAAAAAGGTGAAAATGTGGCCGAAGGCCGCACGGGAATTATGAAAAACGAGAGGGGGATACCAGTCCATTGTCCCCAAATAATACATTAGATGGTTTTATATATAGTAGCAATTACATTTGTTACTTACAGTTTTCAATGTAATGTCCACCTTGTTCCAATCATACGCGAATTCGTCGATTAAATTTCTGTGAAATTTTTGCCATCATTTCTGCTGTAATGGTATCAAACGCTTCCTTAATCCTTTGGATTAATTCCAGTTCTGTCGCTGGAAGATCACGATTAGTAAAAATTTCATTTTCAAATAGCCCTATAAAAAAAATCGAATGGAGACAGATCCGGTGATCGTGCAAGCCATTCAATCGGTCCAGCTCTTCCTATTCACTGTCCAGCATATGTAGCATCTAAATAAGCTCTGACGGAGCACCGTTGTGCTGGTACCAGATGAATAGCTGCATCGCCGGCTCTATAACTCGATTGATAACTTGCGGTAATATATTGTGCAAGAAGTTCAAATATATTTCTCCTGTTAATCGGTTTGGAATAAGAACCCCACCAACCTGCAAAAAGTACAAATAGCTTGTCATTAGATTCTTACAAATATTATGAAGAGCTAATAAATAAATTACTACTTACAATTTTATCATCAAATATGCCGCACCATACGTTAACGCTGAATTTATTTTGCAGACTTGTAATTTTGATGGCATGAGGATTTCGTACTGCCCATACAACTTCATTGTGCGTATTGTGCACTCTCTCGTTATCAAAGTTTGCCTCATCAGTGAACAAGATTCTTTTTGTGAAATTTTCATCAATGGCAAGTAGTCTGATCATGACGTGACAAAAGTTGACTCTTCTCGGAAAATCTGTTTGACTCAACCCTTGACATGGAGTTTTGTGATATGGATAAAATCCATTATCCTTCCAAATTTTATGGATAGTCGATCTGCAAACTTCAGTTACCGCTGCTGCTTTCCGAACACTAGTTGATGGATGATTTATCGCTTCTCGTAGCACTCGCTGTTCGTCGTTGACCTTGTATCTATTAAATCCACCATCAACACCACGTCGGCTTCTGAGATCTCCGGTATTCTCTAATCTTAAAACAGCACGGTAAACAGTCATACATATTCTTGAAATGAATAATCCGAAGCCATAATTATGTTAAATTTATTTAAAAAATACAAGTAAAAATAGAAGCTTAACAATGTTAAAGCAATTGCAACTAACTACAAACCGAAAAATTTAAAACAATGTACATAACATTACAGCGCGCGAGAATTTTTGTTTACTATTGCGTATCAGATGGAATTTATCCCAGAATATTGGCAGTAAATATTCAAATTATAATTCATAATTAACTTTTTATGTTGTTTTTTTATTAACAGAAAATTTGATTACAGAAAAATAGCAGCAGACCCTTTTTTTAAAATTAAATATTCCGGGAAAGAGTAGAAAAAAGAGAAAAAAAAGATAGTAAAAAATCGTGTTACACAAAAAAAATGTATTGAATGCAAGTAAATTGTGAACTATTTTACAGTATTTTGCGATCACTAGAGAAACTTGAGCGTTGGCAATCCTAGCATCATCTGAGTGTCTACCCGATGATGAAAAAGTACCAAGACGAAGTATTACACAAGTTAAAATGATTGTCAAGCTGGAAAGTATCTCAAAAAAATTTTTAATTATAAAACATTCATCAAGATAAAATAGTATTCAACAAACTAATTTATTTGATTATTATGAAGTAAAAATCGAAAGTTCTTGAATAATATGATATTTTTATTTTATATTATAAACTAACTGCAGTCCATGTTCTATAAAACAAAAATTGGATTATAATCTAGTTAATAAAATCATCATTAAAAAACTTTAACAGATAAAAAGAGTTTGAAATCATCAAAATATTTTATAGACTTAATTATAACAATCAGCAAAGACTTCTTTCGTCTATTGATTTATCAACGTATACTCCTCCACTTACTCCAACAGGTAAATCATGCTAATTTTATTACTAACTATTTAACATAACTTGATGATTTATACACTAAAATTAATTTTAACAATTTATTAATTTTCTGATTACTTTTTTGCATCATCAACTATGATTTCTAGTAATTCTGATATTTCCAGCTCTTTACCAACGCTGAATAGTTGCATGAAGAAAGAAAATAACAAAGATCGGATTGTAAAAAAAGATCACACATTGCCAATACTACAAAGTATTTTCGATATTAATACAAAAAAAAAATAATACGCCTCTTGACATGGAAAATCAAGACAAAATATTTGATCATATAACAAATTATGTAAAAAGTAAGGAACAGAAAAAAAGTCATCTACATATGAGTAGTGTTGAAAAGGTGCGTGTTCAATAACATCTTTAAAATTATTCTTATATTATTTCAGGCAAGTACAATACGAAGTCTCCATTAAAAGTCATCATTAAACCACCACCACCATTAAGAACCATTTTCAACGAGCTCCTATGTGAAAAAATACCTATAAAAAACGTTACTTCTAGTTGTAAAAGTAAAGTCAAATCTGCAATATTTTGATTGTTACCAGAGAATAACTTGAATAGACAAAACTTAGATCAACAATTAACTAAGTATTATAAGTATAACTGTTTTGAATTCGAGTCGGGCCGGATGAGAAAACTAAAAACTAATGGACTGTAATAATAAGAAAAAAAGGTTGGATGTTGGAAGGTTCCTGAAAATGATTCACAAACACCAAATTGTATGGTTTTTTTTGATTTTATTAAAAAATAACACTTCACTTAGAACAATCAAAAACAATAATCACTAATTGTTTGTGAGTTGACGGTAACTTTATGTTGTTCGAGTGTGTGATGTATGTGTGGCTGTCCGTGAGGCACTATGGCGTCGACGCGAGTTCAGCTTCGCGCCCAAAGACACTACAACTGACTTTACTGGACTACTGGCACTGATGAGATTGATTCTGATGGTTCACTTGTGTTCATGAGAGTTGTCTGAGTCTATTTTACCGTATTTGCAACTACAGAGGGTGAGCTAACTGCAAAAAACCGCGATTTGACTGCGACAAGTTATACAGAGATGACCGCGTGATTTGCCTGGAGCTAGGGATGGGCGATATTTATCGATGTATCGAAATATCGATAAATTTTTTCTAATATCGAGTCTTTTTATTCGATATTTTTCATAGACGATACATCGATAGTCGATATTTTTTCTCGCTATATCGACCATGTAGGGACCTCTCGTGGTATTTTAAATAACTAACCAAAAGCCATTAGCAGTCACATGTTCAATATCAGGTCTCACGCGTTTATTAATTATTTATTAATTAATTTATAATTAAAAAAAGTGAAAAACCATCATGTTCAGTATAGAGGAAGATGATAGAGGGTTAGAAACTCTATATGAAGAAGATCCACGAAGATTTAAAGTATGGTTTCGTATAAATGAACAGGATTCTTTTTTTGTAAATGGATTCACAATTCAAGAATACCTCGATTTTAAACGTGAGTAAAGTTTTATATTCATTTTTTTTATGATTTAATGCTTATTTTATTCCTGGTGATTGATTTATATTCGCATTCTTTTCCATATTTTCAATTTATAACTTCTTTTTACACTCAATAACAGACGATCAATGTACGTAACAGACAGATGCTGTAAATAATTAATTTTTTGTTAATTAACTAAAAAAATCATTGATTTTGTATTTCAAAATTGAAATAAGTAAATACGTAAGGTTTTTTTTTTCTAGATAAAGATGAAAAAGTCCTCGAATACATTATGAAACGATTTTCTGAAGGGAGTTTGCCAAGATCTGATGAACATGTCGAAGCACTTTGGAAGTTTATAGATGGTGTCGAATTGTAAGTTTATATAAATTATACTTATAAAAAGTAATTATAATAACAACTTTTTCTTCTCAAACACTACAAAATTTATATTCATTTTCCTAAGCACATTCATTGACATAGAAAATTTATGTCAATCGAACCAAAATTCTGTTGAAAAATCACCTGTCTCTCAAAATCCTACATCTTCAGTGTCACAACCAATTGCTTCTGATTCCAGAGATTCTGGTATAAAACTTTTATTCTGATATATTTTGTTTATAAAATACTGAATTGCATACGGCTTTTTATTTCCAATTATCCATTCTTTTCTAATAACTACAATATATTTTCATCTAATTCTATTTATTCCTTTAATTATTTTTCAACAGTTGACACGCCAAATGTCATTCCTCCTAGTCCTCGTGTAACGTAAGTTTCCTTTTCCCATAATATAGATTTTTGTAATTGTAAACTTTTTATTCATATATGTAATTAATAACTTCATCTTTGTAGTAATTAATGTAGTCATGTAAAGTAAATAATAATCAAATTCTCTGTTTTAAAAATTACAGCTCAAAAGCTAAGAGTGAAATGTGGAATTACTTTATAAAGCAAGATTCGAAAACTGCTAAGTGCACCTTTTGTTCAAAAATTTTTCAAACTTGTGGAAATACAACGAATTTGAAACATAATTTACTCTCGAAACATAAGTTGTTTCTAAGTTCATCTAAACTTCAAAAATTTTCAAAGTCAACCAAAAGGGCCAGTAATGATAGAGCTTGTGATCAGACGCAAACTAAAAAGTGTAAAGTATGTTTGGAATTTTTATTTTACTTATAAATAATTAATTTACAATTCAAAAGCATTCAGAGATTTTTATATATAACGGGATATCTTTTTGTAATTCATAATTATTTTATATTTACAGACTACTTTAACGCAAATTCCTCAAATATTTGAACATATTACTTCTTTCGCTGGTTCGTATAACATCAATATCAAGTTTTATGCATATAATACTATCAATGATTAGCCATGTTTTTTTTTATCTTATTATAGATGGTGGTAAAAAGTTCGACCGAATTACCGATTCTATTCTCTTCATGATTGCTACAGATACTATGCCGTTGACTACGGTGGACAAAAGAGGATTCAAAAAACTGATAAAAATTCTTGCACCGTTATATCCCATACCAAGTCGGAAAACTTTTACTTCATTGGCAGATGCTAAATACAAGTCTTTACAAGCAGTTCTTATCACTGAATTAGCAGCAGTTAGGTCTTATTGTTTAACGTGCGATATCTGGACTGACGTGAGCAATCAAAGTTATTTAGGCGTCACCATCCACTACGTACCTGAAAAGAAAATAACATTAAGCTGTCGGTTTATGAGTTTATACTCGCTCAATGATCATCATACATCACAATACATCACGGATTCTTTATTGTCTGTTGTGGATACATTTAATTTGCTTAATGAAAAGATAGTTGCCGGAATAAGTGACAATGCTCCTAACATAAAAAAAGCTGTGATAGATGGATTTGGAATAAAACGAAAATTACCATGTTTTGCACATATCTTATCTCATTTAGTACCATCTGTCATCAAAGTCATACCTGGACTTGACAAAATTATTAGCAAAGTAAAAGACATTGTAGTTCGTACTAAAAGAAGTGTCACAGCTTCCGATACATTAAGAAACCTTCAGATCAGGGATGGAAAAACAGAGGGTACTGCTCTTAAATTAATTCAGGATGTTGAAACAAGATGGAATTCCACTCTCTATATGTTGGAACGGTTCTTAATTTTAGAAGAATACGTCTATCCAGTTATTTTGAAGTTTCTTAATCCTCCTCGGATGATAGATCCAGAAGAAATTTAAGTTTTAAAGGATCTTACTGTTTTAATGAAACCTGTGGAAAGCGTAATCAATGAAATAAGTGGTGATTCATACCCTACATGTAGTGTATTAATTTTAATTTTACATTGCATGAAAATGGCAATTCAATCTATTAAACCTGAAACTGAAGAAGGAAAAAAGTTTCAACAAAAACTTATGCCAGAAATTTTATTAAAATTTGAGAATTTTGAGTCAAATGCACATCTCGCTATATCATCAATTTTAGATCCTCGTTTTAAACAAATTCATTTTAAAAGTGCTACTGCTGCTGCTACTGCAATTAATTACATTAATGATTTAATGAAATCAAATTATAAAAGCACATGTACTGAAAAACAACCAGTTAAAAATTGTAATCCTGGTGATTTATGGACGTTTCATGATGAAATAGCGACGAAAAGAAGTGATACTGTATACATGAATGATGAGATGTGTTTAGAGTTCAAACAATATTTAAACCAACCAGTTGTGAATCGATTTCAAAACCCAATTGAATATTGGAAAGTGCATCAGGACACTTATCCTGTGTTAAGTGAAATTGCACTAAAGTACTTATGTATTGTTGGAACTTCGGTTCCTTCCGAGCGTTTATTTTCTCAAGCTGGAGCAATAAAAACAAACGATAGAAGTCGTCTAACAGGAAAGCATTTACAACAATTATTATTTCTAAGTTCTATTAATTATGATGAATGGAATGAAGTGAATAAATGAACTGATAATTGTAATAACTGATTATTTTAAAAATAAATAGTCTTTTTTCATGAGCATAGTATTTATTTTTTAGTGATAATTTAATAGTACATACTATTTATACAAGTTTGTAAAATTGAGTACTTGCAATAACATTTAATAAAAAAAAGTTGTATATCCATAAAAGTAATATAAAATAAACAGTTCAGAAATGTAATAGAACTTCAGTTACAAACGAATTTTTAATTAAAATTAGAGTTTATCTTTAAAACACAATATAAAATACAATATTAGTAATATTGGACACGAAGGACGTAGTGAATCTATCTTAGATTTCTTCTTCATCATCATCATCAGTGATTCGTTTACTGTAAGAATAAAAAAAATGATAATTATAATATGTTCATTTACAGATTTCGGAATTTTGTTTTCCTTCATTAAATCCATAGCAAATTTCCTTGCATCTTTATTAGAACTGCAAAAATATATTATCATGAAACATAAATATAGAATTAAAATAAAGCAATTAAAATATTCAATGACATGATACTTACTTCATGAGCTTTACATAGATTGATAAACTTAACCCTTCAACACAATAAGGCGATTCATGATTGATTGAAAAATGTAAACTAAATGTCATTTCTGACGAGGGTTCTGCAAATAATATCAAAAGAATTAAAAACAACAAAAATTGAGAAAGTTAGGTTATGAAGGATTATTGTAAGTGATGTATAAATATAACAATAATTTTACATAGTAAATCTACAGATATAATCCAATAATAAAACTTATGAATAGAATTCAAGTTCTTACTTGAAGCATAACAGTTCATTATCCTAGTTAATTATAATTAACAAACGAAAAGATGATAAAACTAATTCCCTAAAACTTTCAGATCAACTTTAAAAACAATTAAATATCTTTTTTAGAGTTCCACCAAAGGTCACTAAAATCTTCAATTTAAATTATCCCGCTTATGACTTGGATATCGATATATTGATATTTTTTTAAAAATATCGATACATCGATAACCATTGATGAGAAATATCGATTGTCGGATATCGATATTTTTTTTCAATATCGCCCATCCCTACCTGGAGCTAACTGACGCCACAAGTGCTCGACCGCGTCCTTGTTGGCGTCACTAGGACCGTAGAGTTGCCTTCTGGGCCATGAGGGAAAGACTTCCCGATGATTGGTCCAGTGAGTTGACTGACGCGCCGGTGGACAAGTCCGGCATTAAACAATTTTGATTATTTCCCGACTAACTGACTTGGGCCCCTCCAAGTCAGGACAATAACCAAATAGATATTATTAAGTCATCAAATAGGTCTGTTGAAAATAATCAAAGTGAAAAACAATAAAATGATTGCAATGAAACCTCGAAACAAATGATTAACAATGATGAGCTATGTCTTTAGTACAAAATACTAAATTGTCTACAACTAGCTATTAACGTAATATGTTTTCCATTTCTCCAGTATCTATCGATAATTTTATGGAAGTAAATTAAAAACTATTTTACAGTATTCACGCTTTATTTACTATAATAAGCACATTCATCACAACCATTATCTTCGTCATATTCTTCAGATGTTTTACTATTTTTTTTTTTGTTTTGTTTTACCTGATGGGACTAAATCAGTTATTATACAATTCAAAATAGATGTTTGTTGCTGGATTTAAATAGATGAAGTTGAATAATAGCAATAGTTGAAAATCGTAATTTTATAAGGAAAAACATATTCGTAGCAGTTTTTTTACATTACTTTAAAATTGAAACTCGTGATTATTATTTATATAAAATCTATTAATATTGAAATTGAGGCTATTAAGTATTTTACAAAAGTCTTTTTTATATGTAAATTATATTCACATTCAAAAAAGTGGATGTTCCTTCACAATTACCTCCCACTAAGGTATATTATTATTAGATAAAAAAAGATGTAACAGATGAAAAGAATTTAAAATCATCAAAATATTTTATAGACTTCATTATAACAATTAGCAAAGACTTCTAGGATAATTTACAATACTGTTAAATAAAAAAAGATTTAGATAAACTATGTCAGGTGTTGTTCAAGTTATTTTAAAAGTATCTTTTCATATAACCGTCGAATCTTTGGATGTTGATTGGCATGTTTGTGTGTTACTGCAATCTTTCATGTTGTCATTATCTCTGTGAATGAATTTAAAAAACATTAAATAGCTGAATAAAAAATATGATATTCTCATAAAGTATGACAAAAATATACCTTTAGACAACTTACAATTGACGAGATGAATTAATCTGGTTACAAATATTTATTATTTGTTATACTAGATGTACATGAGAAGAACCATGATGTCTACTATTTGTTCCTTCATTCACTCCTTGATCGGTAGATTCCATTTTTTCTCAGGATTTGGTGGACTATTTATAAATATCATACATTTTAAATGAATTTGTAACTTCTTTATAACGTCGATATTTTCTAGTATGTATGGTAGTTCTACCGTCTGTAATTATTTTTCTTGGCATATTGAAGTTTGCTAATGCAAAAGATATATCACGACTAATTTGACTACTACTTGATAGATTCTTAGATTCCGCAGGAATCTCCAAGTTTTTCATCATTTGAAATAATATGAAGGACTTTAAATAATTTAAATTTAGAGCCACAATATTGCCACAAGGAATATAAACAATAATGAATTCATTAAAATCAAATTCACTTTGATTTTTAAGATTCCAATGTTAGTAATAATTTTTGATTTAAACTTTTTTATTTGAATTCCGGAAGAATAGGTTGCACTGCACACTAATCGAAATAATTTGTTATGTTGCTCAGTTAACTTCATCTTGCACTGCAATTTGGACAGTTGTAGGTGGCGCGATGGTACATAATAGCGATAATTTCCATTGAAACGCAAATTAATCCACCAAACTTTAATAATTTTTTTCGCGAAAACTAGCAATTTGCGAATATAAGTACCCATATCAGATCGTTTTTATTTATTTTTTTACATAACATATACCCGGCTTCGCTATAAGTTACAGGACACCCTGTATAATTTTTCAATTTTAACAAAAAGAAGATTTTTGTAAATAAAATTGTCTATAAATATCATTTTAATCTCCTTAAATAAGATTTTCATTTTTTCATTAACTTTCTTCCTCATATTCCTTCCGTTTCCTTGATTACAAGTATACATATAACAAGGAAGGTGTCATAGATCGATCTTTATGAAATAAGATGAATGGCAGTATTTTTTTTTTATAATTATGAATAATAGAAAACACAAAGAATAAATTTGTTATAAACAATCAACAAAAAAAATTCTATGCTCCACATTTGAATTCTGCCAGTCTGTAATTCTTTCTTTCACTGAAATGAAGTTATGAACGAGATGAATTTCATAGCACTCTAAATTTTAGTGTTTCATTTCAAAACATTAAAAGTGTTGTAATATGACGTCACCTATTTTATTTACGTTGTCTAGATTTTCAAACATTTAGAAACATGAGGTCTTTACCCACCCAGAGGTTACAACCTCGTTACCGCTGAGGCATACCCCAGTAGAAAAAACTGATGTTATAGCCCCGCAGTCCAGCGAAACACTAGGCTGACCGGTTCCATCAAGCAGGCAGAGGTCTCACTCCGCCGCTGAGGTTGTTACCCGGCACTCGCGCCGTGGCAAGAAGACGGTGGTCATCACCCCGTCGCAGAGGTCGTTCCCCGGTGCAGTATCGCTTCAACAGCACGGAGGTATTACCCCGTCACCGAGGTCTTCGGGCGGTGAATCGCCATTTGCAAACGTACCCGACACCAGAGGCCGATCCCCTGGGGTGTTAAAAAGGGAGGTCATATCCTTCCCTCTAGAGTCACGCGTCCAGTTCACACCGTTGTTGCATGCGTCATTTTGGGTCGTAACCTCGCCTTGGTGTGAATTGAAGTAAAGAGGGCGTGCACCTCTGGAGAGAAGAGAACCCCCCCCCCTCTCGAGCCCGTTACCCTGCCGATCACACATACCGCCGCTACCAGCTCTCACTTTGGATACCTCGTCCGTCCAATAATCTTGCTAGCTAAAGCCAATAAGTAACTGGTTAACCGATCTCCGATTCCGCCATTCTGGAGATTCACTTTAATTTGTTTACTTTTATCTTGTTCATTTACCTAAATTCTGTTTTTCTCGTTTTATTAGTAAAATCCTAAAATTATAACCTAATTAATTTAATTCATTTACCGAGACCGTTCCCTCCCCCTCCACAGTAAATACAAAAATTCTAGACTCGACGAGCAGAAGGCACGTGGAGGGTTTATGCACACTGAATATTGTTGTTTTATATTCTGATTCGTCATATGTTATGCTAATTTTTCAAAATATTCCAGACTCTTACATTAATACAACTGCTATGCATAAGATGTTGATGTTGTAAGATCATCATTAATTTCTTTCATTTTTTGGGTTCACCTCTACAGTAGCCCCTACCCTCTAGTGGGAAGTTGTAGTAATCGGTCCGATTTTGCGAATCCCGACATATCCTCACGTTGAAGGGTCCTCAGAGTCAAATACGATCGTTTTCCAGTAGACGTCTGTGTGTGTGTGAACGTATGTGCATACATTCGTTCAAAATTTTCCTGGTCGATTAACTCGAGAACAAAAAAACATATCGATGTGGGATCAATTGCATTCGACGCGTAATTATGTAACTTAGAACTGATTAGATTTTCAGCAAAATCCGTCTAGCCATTTCTTTTGCAAAACCAAAAAACTCGCAAAAATGAAAAACGACCTGAATTTCGCAATTTATCAATTATACCATTTTTAGACAAAATTTCAAAATCTTCTAAAAAATATGAATATTAAATAATTAAAACACTTGTTTGAAAATAGGATGGCAATATTTCATCAAAAAAAAAAAATGTTGGAAAACAAAATCAGCAATAAAAGAATTTTAAACTCGTGTCAGGATTGAGAAAACAGCATTAAAGACGCGATAACTGTCAATAATAATTGTTGATAATATGGAATTGTGTCCATAACCATTGAACATTGTTACTAAAAAATGATTATTGATCATGGTTATATTTAAATAACAAGTTTTAAATTGTCATAAACAATAAAAATAGGGATCCATGCTTTATATATGAGTACTTTTAACGCATAATTTTTTCTTCTACCAAAAAAAATGTTACTAACCGTATGACATAAATAAAAACATACTTTTTTCGTTTATAACAATGAAATTTGTTGTAAATAATGGAAAGAAGGATCTATGAGGTATATTTGAATTCTTCTAACGCAGAGCACTGATATTTTTTTTCTTTATCAATACTATTCAATCTGATATAAAAAATTAAAAATAGATCTGAGCACACTCTGCCTGTGCTAACATGACGAATTTCCCATGAGTAATTGTTTATAACAAATTTAAATATTTTTAATCAATGTTTGTTGAAAACATACTGTAAAATAATTGAATAAGAACAACTATTATTAAAAGTTAGTTTATTAAAATGACAGATTCAAATACAGAATCAAAGACAAGACGTCTAATGTTAGCTAGTCTCAGTCCTAAACTGGAAATAAACAAACTCTCCCCTCGTTGCTATAAACAATCTAATCGTAAAGCAATCGTCGTTAACTAACGAACTGTCGTTAGTCAATCCATCTATAGATGGACACACATATATTTCACAATACAAATACATGTGATATACACATTACTTATTCAATAAATACAATTTTTGATAGTTCATAATAAATTCGTTTTGTTACAAACAATGCGTATTTGATAAAAGTTATATTTAGTTGTGAACAATAATTTTCAGTCCGTATCGACTTAATTTTCAAATGAAAATGTTATTGTTTGACTCAAAAGTATTTTAAATAGTTAATCTTTTCATTTTTTTATAAGTTATTTTGTTGTAAAAAAAAAATGGCTCGACCGCATTATAATGCCTCCTGAAAAATCCAAGCCATTCTTGTACATTTTATTAATTTGCTGACGTTTTTATAAACAAACAACCCTATCTCTATGCTGAAATATTCGACTTTAAATTTCACACTTTTTCAAAAGTTTGTAGATCTCTTTA